ATTTTTAGTTCTATAATTGTGACACTGTTCTAGATTTAAGTCCACCACCTACTTGAAATAAGATTAGAAACTGGCATTTTGAGACAAATATCTTGAAGTTAGCATTCAAGACATTAACTACTTCTTATAAGCGGAAAAAATTCTTGAAACAAGACGATTCATCTTTTACAAATAAAACAGCATCTTAAAAACCTTATGACATGTCAAAAAAGCTTGTTTCATCTGAGATATGACTCAAAACAAGATGTTTTCAAGACTGTTTCACTTAACAAGATATTCAAGACGCACTGTCTAAAAACAAGCTCCTTTATCTCACTTAAATCTTACCCTTTAAGTGATTTTGTCTTATATTAAGTGTGATGAGATATTTTGATTAGAAATTAGAAAAATATACTTGGTAAGATTTTGAGTTTTTGCAGTGAATCAACATATTAAGTGACAAAAAGTCATCCATGTGCCCTTTTCTGCAATGTCATTGTGAAATGTGTTTGCATTTGGCAGGAGATGAGCAGTTGCTTTTGTACCATAAACTGCAACAGTAAAGGGTGGAAATGTTCAAGAAGGAAGCCTGAGATCAGGAGCATCTAGCGATCCCAGGTAGAGGCCCTGGGTTTGATGCAGTGATGGAAACTGGTGAGAAAGAAACACTAGTTCAAAGGCTGGATCACTCACACAGTTACTGTGTGAATCTTGAAAACACTGATCAGTCTTGAAGTGATCAGTTTGATGTGTGTTTAGAGTTTTAGTGGCTGATAGATATGTTGAACTGATGGCTTTGGACAGAATATGCTTCATATTGTCTCTTTCAATGATCCTATTTGGCTGATAAATAACATTAATGCTGTGTTGACCTAGTTTCCTTTGGGGGAAGTTTTGCCTATATTCACTAGTGTCATGTAATATGAGGCTGTGCACTCATACTGTACATTTGGCATTTATCTAGAGTCTGGTTCATTTTGATTAGAGCCCGACTGATGAATCAGACAGGCCCACACATGTAACTACTAATGTGTAACCAGTGATCGATATTTAAAAATCATTTTTTATAGAAATGACACATTTATATAGTAAAAAGATATATATGAAATTTTCACCCATTATGTATTTACTGCTCTTTACTTCTGTAAACCAGTATAAGTCCAGAAGTGGACTCTGGCATAATCTTAACTGTGAGTAGAAATGTAAAATTTTCACACTGTGGTGTTTATCTGTTAGGCACTCCTTGGGTGATTTCTGTGTTTCATCACTTACAAGGTAAACTAGCCATACCTGTGTCTTCCATAAATCTCAACACTTCTAACCGCGCTCGGCTGGGATGGAGGTAAATCAGCAGTTCATGAGTCTGCAGTCTACCTTGTTACATTCAGTGTGAAATAATGTGTTGGTTCTCTGAGCACAAACACATGCTTTATGCTTACGACCTGTGATGAACTGTGTCACATGTCACTGTCAGCCCCTCGCAGACAGTGTTTGTCACTTTCTGTGTGGAAATGTACAGTATATTAACTGTATTTCTGACTCGCAGTGACAATGTTACTGTTTGTTTTTAAGAATCCACTATGGCAGTGTATCCCATCGAAAGTCACAGGTCACACAAGATAAACAGATAATACTGTTTTTCAGAGCTTTAAATGGAGTTTTCCTTTTAGTGTGACAGAGTGATGTTTCACAGTGGTAATACACTTTTAATTATTTGATTATTAATAATTATTCAAAATGTAACAGCAATTCTCTTGGTTGGCAGTCACAGCATTTTCTGCTTCCATTTCACATACAGTGTTTGCTGTCTATACAATACACTGACACTATTGCTGAGAGTGGTACATACCAGGAGTGGACCGTTACATGTATCCAGTATTTTAAAGATTTAGATTTTTACAGTATGGAGTGTTGAGCACCTTTAAGGACACAGAGTGCAGGACACAGTCTTCAGCATTCTTCAATGTATGAGCTGCAGTTCAGTATGTAGATAAGTGTGAAAGGCAGTGAGTCTATACAAGAGCTGGTATCAGCAGCAGTCCAGTGAAGTCCAGTCCAGTATATGGGTCTGTACGGTTCAGCAGAGAGCGCACACAACTACGGTAACTCCAGAGGATAAAACTTGATTCACTCACTCCACTCAATTAAAGTTAAATTTTGTCTTGTTTGTAATGCTTCCCAGATATGTCTGACAGTCTGTTTGGTATCATGTAAATGCTGAGTAGGCAAGAGAATATGAGAGCTGTAGCAGTGTCGGACTGTAGAGAGGAGGATGTGGCTATTTCCTGGAGGCAGAATGTACCAGTGTCAACAAAACTCACTAGTATCAAAGTATCAGTGGAAAAGATTAGTTTGTTCATTATGTGCCAGGACTCCATGACACCTACTGGAGACTGACTGGTACTACTGACTAACAATGCCAGGTGAAGAGTGAGAGTTCCTTAGAGGAGGTGTGTGTGTGTGTGTGTGTGTGTGTGTGTGTGTGTGTGTGTGTGTGTGTGTGTGTGTGTGTGTGTGTGTGTGTGTGTGTGTGTGTGTGTGTGATAATAATAATGAGTTGTGTATATTACATACTCTACATACGTAATGTGTTTACAAGTAAAATGGAAATGTTGGTTGGATTGTATAAAGCAGTAATGTGCCTTCACAGTGTCACTGTACAGGGCAGTATTTAGCCAACGCAGTGTTACAGTATTTAGTACATGCTGTGTTGTGCTAGACAGCATGACCCATGTAGAATTAGCAGCGCAGGTGATGATACAGATTGTGAATGGATGAATTACAGTTGTACAGAGTTGCACAGTCTGATGGCTACAGGGAGAAACGACCTGCAGTAGTGTTACCTCCTGCAGCGGGGCAGGAGCAGTCTGCTGCTAAGTGGACTCCTAGGTAGGACGGGTTCTTCATGATTGCTTACACCTTTGCCAGCATCTGCCTCTCTGCCACCATCTCCACTGTGTCCAATTTCTCCTCCAGGAGAGCCGACCTCTCTTTGGCTGTGATACTGCTGCCCCAGCACACAACTGAATAAAAGATGGCAATTGACACCACAGACTGATAGAAAGTCCTCAACAATTGTGTCTAACAACAAAGGAAATCAGCCTCTTCAAGAAGAAAAGTTGGCTCTGGCCCTTCTTGTTTAGCTCGTCCATGTTCGCCTCCCATCCCAACTTGTCATGCAGATGACCACTCAGGAAATTGTAGGTGTTAACCACCTTGATGCTCGCAACCTGGATGGTGACAAGAGCTGGAGGAGACTTTTTCTCCACCAGCTCCTTTGTCTTCCTGGTGTTAAGCTGTAGATGGTTGTTCTGAAACCAGTTCACAAAGTTGTTCACCAGGCTCCTGTATTCCTCCTCCCTCCCCTCATAATACACCCTACAATGGCAGTGTCATCTGAGACCTTCTGTAGATGACATGTATCAGAAGAATTCCTGAAATCAGAGGTGTAGAAAGTGAAAAGGAAGGGAACAGTCCCTTGTGGAGCACCGGTGCTGCTCACAGTCTGCTCTGACACACAGCTCTGTAGTCTCATATACTGGGGCCTGCCGGTCAGGTAGGCAGTGATCCAGGAAACCAGGGCAATGTCCACCTGTGCTTCACTCAGCTTTTCCCTCAGCAGGACGTGCTGGATGGTATTAAAAACACTGGAGAAGTCAAAGAACATTACTCTCACAGTGCCCCCAGCCGTCTCCAGGTGTGAATAGGCTCTGTGCAGAAGGTAGATAAGAGCATCCTCAACCCCCACATGTGGCTAGTAAGTGAACTGTAGGGAGGGGTTCACTAATATTGCAGTGCAGACCTGGACCCAGACCCTGCCCTATCCGGACCCGGAGCTATAACCTATAAATTATTGAGAAATATTAAATTTTGAAAGAGTGTTTCTATTTTAACCACTTTTCTGGCCTTTATGCACTGGCAACTCAGCCAATCATTATGATTTGAGTCAGTCAATGAGATACACACACAGGGGAGCCACCTTCCCCAACCTTTGCTTGAGGAAATTTTGTTTAACTGAACCTCTTTGAATTTAAATTAAATACCCCTGCCATATGCTTTACACATGAGACAGGATCAGTATGCTTCATGTATACGAAGGGATTGGACCTCGATGAGACCTTTTCCTGTAAAAGGCTTGGGACCTTGATCACATCAGCTTGTCTACAGTAACCACGGTGACAGTCCTGATGGCATCATCATCGTTATCAGCTACTGGAAGCCAGGCTATGGCTCAGCAGGATTACTCAGTCAGACTGAGGGTTATAGTTATCCGAAGGCAGCTCTGAGCCTATCATCGCCCTCTGGTGGAGTTGAAGGATTTGTAAAACAAATACAGTAAATAACACTCACACACAGACACACAAATACAGTGATACAACAGGCAGTTTTGTACTTGAAGAGATAAAATCAGTACATAAGAAAATACATAAATGAAACAAAGGATGTTTTTGAACACCCTGCTGTATCCTCTTATAGAACTGACAGCGTGTTTAACTTACTGATAGCTGATATTAAAGCAATGCTTCAACCACATGTCCTGATGTTGCTGCTTGCTGTAAATTACGGAGCTAGGCCTGTGACTCACTTTTGTTACTGCAGTCTTCCCATTTTGTAAATGATAAATGTGAACAATAATCAAAATAGCCCATTTTCAGCACTGTTCTGAAACCTTTACCTGTAGCCTCATGTTAAAGCTGTTTTTGGGAAGTGAAATATTCACATTCTGCTCTTATTTGGAAAGTTCTGACCAGAATTTGTTTTTGTTTTTATTATGGACACTGAACGCATTGCTACTGCTGATGTCAAACTGTCAGGATGAGGACTGGTTTGAAAGGACAGACTGGTTTGACAGGACAGGCTGGTTTTACAACAGGACAGACTGGTTTTGGACGACAAACTGGTTTTAAAGGATACACTGGTTTTACAGGACACACTGGTTTCATTGGAGAATTTGGAAGAGGAGTGGGATGGGGGCGCTCGGAGCGCACATGCGCACTCGGTGGGAAAAACGATTGAAAACGGGCAGCTATGCCGCGCGGTGCAGAAAACGGGCTGGACGCGTCCGCTTGGAACAACGGCCGGTGTATCGGAGGACTGACCCGGGGTCTGCGGGACTGAAAGGCTGCTGACAGGCGTCAACAGCTAATTTTGCCGGGGGATAACCTCCTGAATCCGCGGAGAAAGCTGCCGACTCCGCTCCTCCCGCTTCCCCTTTCTCTCTCCTGCTTGAGAGACACCGACACATCAGCTATGTTGCTGCTAAACGTGTAGGATTTATTCCCGTCGTCCGCGAGTGAACCGACTGTAAATAAAAGCGAACAGAGACAGAACGCGACAGCAGCGGGTCCACTATGGTTTTACTGGCGCTCCGCAACAGGAGATGTCTACACAGCTGCTGTATGGGGACGCTGTGTTTGCAGTTGGTGCTGTGGATTGTATGTGCCGTGAACGGAGAGGAGCAGCCGTTCAGTGTGGAGGTAAGAACCAGCAACTGAGTGTGTTGACAAGACCAGGTTTCAGAAACGGAATAAGAGACGCGCCTCCCGGCCCGTCAGTCTGCATTACTGGTGTCTAATGTCGAAATAAACATGTATCTCAGACACAGTATAGCGTTGATTGCGTGTTCAACAACAACAACAACAACAACAACAACAACAACAACAACAACAACAACAACAACAGGGTCTTTGTGAGGTACCCAGCAGCGTTGCTGCCTAGTTCCATCCTTTTCTACACTCCTGAATTTTCCTTGACGGAAATCAGTATCACTGTTTGTGATCATCTGGGTTGCTTTGTTAACCTTTCATCTGTCAATAGCAACAGCTTCACTATCATATCATCAGATGGAAAATGTCCTCAATGGACTGGTTTAATTCAGTTAATTCTCGCACTGTTTTCTCCACGTATTAAAAAAAATACTATTCAGTAGCCTACTAAGTCATGGGAACAATGTGGGCAGACTGATAAGATTTTAAGGCAGAGATAAGATTTCTGATATCCCAACTTAATGGACTGGTAAAAGTGTTTTGCCAATAAACTCAAAGGAGCCTTTAGAAGATAATCCTTTTATTCGTCTTGCCTTTGGTTCAAGACACAAGCTTTGCTCCTTTGGGAAAAGAGTGAAATGTGGGTTTTTATCAAGGGCATATCTGACTCTTTTACATCCTTTATTTCCAGATTAATGCACTGCTGTTAAGCCAAAGCTGAATGCATAAAGCTATCATAAAGCTGCACCCCAGAACCCCTCGCTGTCTCTCACACTTGGCTGCACACACACACAAACACAGACACCACACAGGAACATCCTGCAAGTCTACTGACAGTCATTCACATCCTACATCCACGTCTCTACATGATTTGCACACTTGGCATGCTACACTGTTCCATTTGGAAGGCAGAGGGGCAGCAGATTTAGTCCAGATGCTACAGGTTAGTCAGTTAAAATGTCTGAGCTCACATGACAGAAAGAGGAAGAAAGTCAGAGAAACACGAGGAAGTTGTTCTTTTTAGTCTCCAGGTGTATCTTCATTTATACTGGAACATCGTTGTTGACTGTTTGTCCTGAATTAAGTGAAGCAGCTTTTCTCAGCAGCACCAAATCCATGCTGTTCAATAAGGTCCAGCCTCATCCTCTAGTGTAAGACATGATGCACCATGTCAATTAAAATGTAGTTTTTGTATCATCATCACCGTTGTACTTTAAATCTTATTGATTATTTCACATTCCTTTCACTTGCATGTAATTATCCTCCCCAGCCCTGGTGTCTCTTCTTTCTTTTCCAAGCTTTTCTCTGTTGTTCTGTCAGTATGAATATGCTCACAGTTCTCTCATCCTTGCTGTTACTCATTGTCTACTTGTTCTTTAGAAACGTTACAAGTGTAGTAAGTCAGTCTGTGGCAGCCAAGTGACTTGCAAACTAAAGTCTTAACTCTTTTTCTTTTAAATGAGAGATTTGTGCTGAGGGCTTTGGGTAAAACATGATTTAAAAATCAATTTTCATACCAGTCAGTAGTTTTGTTGCATGTGTGAGATTAAACGCATCATAAAATGATGTGAATGGAATTTGGTGGCAGCCTCCTGCTAAGAATCATGTAAAGACACTTGTCAGTGCATTTTCCTGCCAAGAGAATGTAGGATTGACTAAACTCTAAACTAAACGTGGTAACAGTAGCTTCAGATCTGTGATCACTGTGATTCCGCTGCCTGACATCATCGTATGTGAGAAGGATGTCAAAGCCTCCTCATGTCAGAAGTCTTTTCTTTGCCGAAAGTGGGCTTTTCTGTAATGTGAGACATTTATGGCCCCTAATTAAACCATTGTGGTTGTCCTGAGTATACTGGAGGATGAGGACTGTTAAAACTGCTGCAGATCGTGTGAATAATGTTTACCCAATGTTGTCACAACTATTGAGCTTGAAACTTTGAGGATTTGAGCATCAAGTTGGCTTTAAACTGACTAGTTGTTCCAGTGGAGCCAGAAGCATCAGAGGGCGATTGTGTTGGGAGAGAATCCCACTATACTGTAACACTTGGTTTTATCAGAGGTAGCTGAAACGGGTCCCTTACAGTCAGTGCAGTGCAAACAGTTTTGCCACGCATTTGTCCTGCTTCATAGTCCAGTCCATTTGAGTTGGGCTACAGATACAGAACATTATGCAGCCAGCAGGAGGATGACCAGTGTGTCTCTCTATGTCTGCCACATCGAAAACAACTGCTGGTCTGGAAAACCTGTGGAGACTGGACTGATTTCCCTGGAGCCCCGTACTTATTATGACTGTGTGTATATGTGTGTTTGTCTCTGTGCAGTTACACTACAGGTTATAGAGGGTGATAATGAAGAGAGAAATGAGTATTTCCTGTAAATTACAGGTGTGGTTTGAGGTTATCTTGAACCTGCCTAGTACTTGCTGGTGTGACTGTGGTCTTTTAGGAAACTTAACTGGTCCCCCGTTGATTGGCTGCCGTTCATTTTCGGCCGATTTTCATTAAAATTACGTATCGGTAGATTGGAATTAATGCTTCTAGTCACTGATCACCTTAAAGCCGGTCACCTGTGGTTAATACTCTGGTATCTGCGGTTGAGAGAAGTACTGTGTGCTGTGTAATGTAGTCCCACCTCCCACCTTATTCAATGCGCCAGTGCATGTGAGACTGATATAACCTACGCCATCTGCAATGCATGCCAAAAATAATCGTAATCTGCCGTGGATTGGCTGATCTCACCCGTAGATTGGAGTCTGTATCGGCGACAAAAAAAAAAAAAACTGATCAGTGCATCCCTAGTCCTTCTTAATTTGGCATGGGAAACTAATGAATTCATGTGACAGTCCCTTTCAATGGCTTCTCAGCAGGGCCATGTAGAGTAGGTGGACTGTGCGAGCTGGTTTGTATGTGACTCAGAGTAATTAAAAGAGAGATCATGGATGTTGAATTTCTTTTTCCTGTCTGTTCACACTCCAGAAATTGAGTTTTCACAAATGCACAGACATCCTGAATTATCTTCAACTGTCCACTCGTTTTGTGCACATTGGTGGTTCTGAACTCCTCATGGTGCTTCAGGGTTTCAGTGCAAGGTAAATAAACACGTGTTGAAAGGCCAGTGCACTGCTGAAACTGTTGCTCCTGTGCTTGGATTGACGCTACTCTCCAGTTTATAGTTTAAGCTGTGAGGGCAGGCACCATGTGACTGATATGTTAATTTCCATCTGTCTTACAGCCGATTCAGTGCTCTGTAGTGCACCTTCTCTTCATTGTAGTGTACCCTCTTTTCATCCTGCTGGGATTTGAGATATTCTGACTCATGGGTGATGTTTCTCCAGGAACACAGCAACAACAGCAGCAGCACTATGAAGGCAGCGGGGCCTCATGAGCATGGCACCGCCTTGGTTACACTCAGTGTTTCAGAGAGAGGCATCAGGTGGAGCGCTGCCCTCTGAGTTATATTAAGTGTTTGAATCATGCAACTATGCTCACCAGAGACAAAGCACACAGATAATCTGCTGTGAAACAAAGAGAGCGCAAAGTTTCTGTAGTGTACTCCATCTGTGAACACATCCTGTCTCAGATGGATGATATCTGTTCCGTCTGTGTGTCTGTCTGTCTGTCTGTGAGCTACCTATAAAGTCTCTGGTCAGATTTCTGTTAGATATAGTGATGGACAGATGGAACCTGAGTCAAAATAGTAGGGCTGCACCTAGGGCTGGGCGATAAAACGATAGCAATAATTATTGCAAAATTATTTTCCTCGATAGAAACATTAAACATGTTCGATAAATGTTCGATATAATTAATTTCCATCCTTATAGCACGCCACAAATGAATCACGAATGGCCAGTCATGTCGCAGGAATAGAGATCTGCATTGTGCAAGTTAGGATGCATGGTGAGAGGTATAAAACCGGTATGTGATATTATTTACAGACGCACATAGTGGCTTGAAGTTGGAGTGGAGTATGCAAATAAGGGGAAATTAGCAACACTACAGAAAAAGCAGAACGCAGCTTGGAGAACGAAGATATCGTTGACAAGAGAGGCCACTCAACTTCAGTAGTTTGGAGGTGTTTTGGCTATTTAAAGTCTGACAAAAAACAGAGCAATGTGCACTGCACACTGTGCCAGAGACACGTTCCATCAAAGACAGGCAACATCACAAAACTGTTTCATCATTTGTAACAGTATCACCCGTTAGAACACACAGAAAGTAAGAAATTACAGGCCCAAATGAGTATTAGTGGACCCTCGACGAGCGCCAGGCCAGTACCCAGTGCAAATCTTCTTTGTCTATTTATTTTTATTTATTTATTTATTTTGCAGTCTGACCATGTTACATGTGTGCTGTATCACACTGTGAACTTAATTTTCTATTTACTTTGTTGAGTAAAAAGGACTGAAAAGGATTTTGATTTTAATCATGCATATTTTATCATATTTTGAATGTTTACCTTAGAGTTTTTCAATGTTCTGCTGTTTGGCAAGTGTAGAACAGTTTAACCACAACTGACTGGTTTCTTCAACTTTCACTCAGAAGCAAAAATCAGCCTTAAACCTGAAAGAAATAACGATATGGCATTTATTGACTGATATGGAAATTTTTATCATGATAACAGTTTTTTTTTCAGTTTATCAACTAGTTGTTTGGATCCAAACTAATGAAAATGAACCTAATAATTTCACAGAGCCTGCAGTGATGTCTTGAAATTGCTCTTTGTATTTGGCCAATAGTCTAAAAGTTCACCACAACATGAGACTGGAAAAAGTGTTGAATCCCCACGCTGCAGAAGCTAGAACCATCAAATGTTTGATGTTTTTGCTTAAAGTGATAGTTCAGGTAATTTGATGTGGGATTGTGTGAGGAACTTTATAGTCAGTGTATTACCTGCAGGAGATTCGGATCGGTGCCCTCGAGTTTAGACAAGCAGCTGTGAGTACTGCCACAGAAGCTGAGTGATGTTCTACTGTGGACCGGCCCAGCTGCCAA